TACAAACCTTATCTATCTCCCTCTCGGTCTCACCATCATCTCCAGTCCCCTGGGTACCGGTTCTCCTGGTTGTTCCATTTGCTGCCTCTCCCTCGTGGTGGCCTTTACCACATGAGGCTGGTAGACAACTGGGCAAATCCACAGAATTCCGAGTGGGAAAGATTATGATCAGTTATATTACCAACCAAGTTATCGCCTGTGTATAAAAGCAATAGCTATTGTATAGCAAAAGAATCAGAAAGTCCACCTCAAGGGCTCCTATTAAAAATGTTAAAATAATAGGCCAGCTAATTATGAGATAAATCAACAGTAATAACTCAAGGGTCTGTAAGGAAAGAGAGCATCTAAACATGGATGTTTATTTTTCCCCTCTAACAACCCATTTTGAGGGTGAAATTTAAAATGTGGTCAGAAGCTATACACTGCAGTTATTAGTAAGAAGCAGGAGGAAATACTCAGGTGTCTTCAGTGAGCAGACTATCCCTATGACAGAATGTTTGCAAAGCGTTAGTGATGACACTGAGAACTGTTTGTGATGAATGCTCAGCAATATAAAGAAAAAATACACGGAACATCAGAAGCAAACATGCCAAAGTGTTCACAGTGATTAGATGGTAAGATTACAGATATGTTGGGTGTGTATCACTTTATGTTGTTGTTGTTTTTTTACACATTGTGAATGTCAACGATGAGCCGTGTTAATTTTATAATCAGAAAAGAGTAAAATGTATTTGATATTTTAAGAAAATGAAAACGTCTAAGGGTCACGAACTAACAGTCAAGAACGTAAATATCTGGGGTAATATTAAATAAGAAAGACAGAATGGCGTTATGATAGTCTACAATTTATCCTCAATGCAGCGGCCAGAGCATCCTCAGAAAAGAGAGAGGGGAAGGACTCAGGTCATGCCTCTCCTCCACTCCCCACCCTCAGAGGCTCCCCACGCATCTCACTCCAGAAAATAAAGTGTTAAAAAGCACAGCCGGAGATGATGCGAGTGAAGCACCATCCAAAGGAGCATAAAAGCCCAAGTCCTGACCATGGTCAGCAAGGACCACCCGATCTGACCCCTGCCACGTCTCCGACCTCCTCTCCGACCCTGACTAGTGCCAGTTGCACCGGTTTCCCTCCCCATCCCCCCAGTCACCAAGCACACACCTGCCGGGGCCTCTGCACGCACCGTGGCCTCCATGGGAATGTTCCCAGCCCGACAGCCACACAGCGCGCTGCAGAGCTCTGCGAAACGCCATCTGACCAGGAAACCCTCCCCCGCCGCCCCCGTGTAAAACAGCAGCTGCCCCCAGTGTTCCCAGCACCCTCTCCCTCTCCCCCGGGCACGTTACCACCACCACCCCCCATACGGCGGCATTGGCCCAGCGGTGTTTGTGGTCTCCCTCCCACGAGAAGAGCTGTCTTGCCTGGTACATACAGGATGCTCAATGAGCATGTGCCGGGTGCCCGAATGAACACACGCATTAGACCAGAGGTTCTCAACCTTCCTGATGCCGTGACTTTTCAATACAGTGCCTCGTGTTGTGGTGACCCCCAGCCATAAAATTATTTTCTTTTTTAAATATTTTTTATTGATTTTTTACAGAGAGGAAGGGAGAGAGATAGAGAGCTAGAAACGTCAATGAGAGAAACATTGACCAGCTGCCTCTTGCACACCCCCCACCGGGGACGTGCCCGCAACCAACGTACATGCCCCTGACCGGAATCGAACCTGGGACCTTTCAGTCCGCAGACCGACGCTCTACCACTGAGCCAAACCGGTTTCGGCCATAAAATTGTTTTCGTTGCTCCTTCGTAACTGTGATTTTGCTACTGTTTTGCACCGTGATGTAAACATCTGTGTTTTGCGATTGTCTTAGGCTCTGCAGCAGCGGCTCTCAACCTGTGGGTCGCCGCTAGCAGGGTGCTACTGTTACGATGCTTAACAGTAGCAACGAAAATAATTTCATGGCTGGGGGTCACCACCACATGAGGAACTGCACTGAGGGTCGCGGCATGAGGAAGGTTGAGGACCGCTGTGTTAGACGGTCAGCCCCTCAGGAGTCGGGGGGCTGAAGGCCCCTCCACACGGACGTGCACCAAACAGGCAGCAATGCGCCCCCCCCCCCCCCCCCCCGACAGCCTGGGGACGTGTAGCCAGCGCTCATCTCTCTCCAGAAAATGAAGTGTTTAACAGCACAGCCGGGGATGAGGGAGGGAAGCACCCTCCGAAGGAGAGATAAGAGGCCGGAGCACGAGTCCCCATCAGAACGCTCAGGCTCTCCCATCGTCAGGACGCGCCTCCCCCTCGCCTCCGTCTTATCACGGCTTCAGAACCAGCTGTAGGCGGCTCTTCAAATGACATTTTAAACGCTCTTTCTATTTAGCTATCTCTTTGTTGTGATTAGATCTCTTTCTGAGCAAAATTAAAAAAAGAAAAAAAAGAAAAAAGGCACTGGCAAACCGATTACCCTGTCACTCTCCCGCCCCAACAGCTGGCAGGGAAAGGCGGCACGCGGGTCCGGGTCCCAAGGGCACCCACTCTCGGGACGCCCACCGAGTGCCCACGCTTTGCCTGGGACTGCAGAGTCGGGACGTGGCGTTCTTCACCTTGTGAGGCTGTATGAGCCCCTGGAAATTCAAGGACAAAGTGATGGCATGGTGCGCAGCTTCACACTCGGGAAGATAAGGAAATCCGTCCTCAGCTCCCTCCGATTTCCTGGGCGCCCCGGGCTCCGGGGATTAGGACGGGCTGGCGGCGGGCCCCGCACGTGCCACCCCAGGGCTGGCTCTCCGGGATGCCCGGGCAGCGGGAGGTGGGGACGGGCAGGCCCAGCGGCCTCTGCAGCCGTCCACTAAGCCATTAATGCTGGCGACATCCGTCTTGCCTCTCGCCCACCTTCTTCCCTGTGACAGCTCCTCCATCTCTGTCTTCTGGCAGCTCAGCTGTGACTGTCACTGCGTCGGGTGGCGGTGGTGTCTCCCACAGGCGCCGTTTTAAGGGGTGTCCTCCCTCACGGAGGGCTGCGTCTTATGGGAGACGTCCAGAGGACCACATGTCCCCAGGGGGCGCTACTGGCTGGGGGAGGGGGGCCTCTGGGGCGTACAGAGTACCCGGGCCAGGCCGGGCATGTACACTACATACATCACGTTGCATGTACACCCACAGACCTGGCTGCATTCTGACAGCGTCTCTGAGAAACAGACACGGTCACCTCTGCCTCAGGCCCTCCCGGCGAGACGGAATGCCAGTTCACGTGGGGGTACCTTCCCTGTTCCGAAGACACAGCGGTGACAGAGGTGCCCGTTTCTAAAACCGGCAAGTAAGCCCACCGGCCTTCCAAACCCAGATGTGCACCTCAGTGGGTGAGAAACGCCAGCTGTTTCCCATGTGGAGGAGCGGGAGGCACAGCGGGTGGAGTTCTGGTCCCTCAGCAGCTGGGGGCCGCCGGGAGCTCGGTCGCTTAGGGCACAGGGACCCTGGGAGGTGGGGGACCAGAGCCGGAGCCACCGAAAACGGGGGCCGGTGAAGGGATTTCCCCCGCTCCACCCCCGAACCAGCGCTCCCCTAAGAATACGAACAGGGACGGGAGCGGCAGCGGCACCCACACGGCCAGGGCCTGGCCGGGCTGCCGGGGGCGTTGGCGACTGGCCCCGGGAGTAACCCTGTTATCACCAAGGACACAGCTCATCACCAGCCTGGGAGCCCTGGCTCTGCACGGGCCCCCTAGGCCCTGGGGGAGGTGATGAGCAGGGAGAGCAAGAGGGGGGCACAGATCCCCTTCAGGACGAGCACACAAACCCATGTTCCAGAGCCCCCGGGGAAAGCGGACCGGAGAGAGCCAGCAGCACCGGCCGGGAGAGAGAGAGAGAGAGAGACAAACAGGGCGGCGGGCAGTGGAGGAGGCGGAGAGGCCCTGCTCGGCAGCCGAGAGGGACGGCAGGGACAGCGCTCTCCCAGCCGGCCTGGCCGAGGACTCCCACAGCGGGAGGCACCTGCGGGCCCGCAGATTACCGGCACGGGCGCAGGGCACGCGAGGAGAGCGGCCCGCACACGCTGGCCAAGGGCGCGCTCCTCTGCTGGGCGCGTTCTGCGCCCACCAGCCCCGCCCCATGTCTCCCTCCCCGGGAGCTCCTGCCGATGTCCTGCTCCCGTGTGGCCCCACTTCCCGTCCGGGTGCAGCGAGGAAAGCCCTGGGTGTGGGGCTAGGACGGTGGTCGGCAAACTCCTTCGTCCACAGAGCCACATATCGACAGCACAACGACTGACGTTTCTTTGGAGAGCCACATTTTTAAAAAACTTCTTCTAACGCCACCTCTTCAACACAGACTCGCCCAGGCCGTGCTATTCTGTGGAAGAGCCACACCCAAGGGGCCGAAGAGCCGCATGTGGCTCGCGAGCCGCGGTTTGCCGACCACTGGGTTAGGAGATGCGGGTTCAAGCCCCACCTCGCGACTGCCTCACTGAGCGTCACTTCTCCTCCTGAAAAGGGGCCAGAACTGGAGGGACAGAACCGGAAGGGGCTGTGGGTGGCCTCACTTCCTGCTCCTACGGGAGCTGCCAGCTGGCGCCCACCTCCCGATCTCCATTTCCCCCTCGGCGGGAGGGGACACTGACAGCACCCTCACAGGGCCCTGTGAGAGGACCTAAAGGACTCACATGGCCCAGTGCCAAGCTCATCATGAATGTCCAACCGGGGCGGCCGTTACTATTGCTATAATAATAGGTGCCCCCTGCCCCCCTCTCCGCCCAACCTACAGACAGTGTGAGGGCTTCCCACTGAAGCCAGGGACCCAGGCATGGCAGACCCAGGGCCCACCGCCACCTCCACCCTGTGGAAATGGGCGAGCCGGCAGGTGATCCCCCACCCACCTCCCTGGTCACCCCCAGTCGGCCCTCCTTGGCCTCCAGAGAAGCCCCTCCCCGTGGCCCACCACGACCTTCCCCCAATGGGACGGGCTCAGACCCGGCCCCCGCACCGCCCGCCCGTCGCCCTGGGCACCCTACCTCTCTCTGCTCACTGCAGATCTTACACAGCCACAGGGGCCGCTTCTGGCCGGGGCAGGCCTCGATCCCGCACTTGGTGCAGACTTTCTACAAGAGAGAGGACACGGGAGGTCACCAGGGGAGCCGGGAGGCCGGGGAAACCGTAGCCGAGGAGCCCGTGGCCGTACCCCGAGGGCGGCGGGCGGCTCTGGGGCACCCTGGACGTGCCCACCCCTGAACCCCACAGTACAGATCCCCATCCTCTGCCCCTCCCCGCCCCCACCCACGTCCTCTCGGGAGCACAGCACAGCGCGCCGCCCGGAGCCGCAGCTGCACCGTGTTCCCGGCAGAGAACTGGCCGCCGCCCAGCGCCCAGCGCGATGGGAGCGCCAGGCGCGGGCAGCGGAGAACGAGACGCCCGGGCACGCGGGCAGCAGAGGAGGTTATGCAACAGAGAAAACACACCGGGGCAGGGTCACCCAAAACGAGCCACGGGCATAAGAAGATGCTGTCGCGAGGAAGACCTTCCCGCAGGCCCAGGCCCTCCAGGGCCCGAGCCCGGCGCCCTTGGCCTGAGCAGCGGGCCGTGTCCCCGGGGAGGCCTCTGGGGCTGGAGGCAGGCTGGCCATGTGCCACGCTCACCAGCAAGCAGCGGACTCAGGTCTGGCTCCGGGGCCGTTATGTAATGAGTAGCCAGAGCCTCGTGCCTGCAGCGGCTGACCTTCGATGCTGCTTAAGCTCGCACCTTCCACATACATATCCTGCTCCCGGCGACACGGTGGCGGGAGAGGCCGGGTGACACGGCCCGGGAGGCCGAGACGGGCTCCCGGTTAGCGGGGTACAGTCTGCCTCGGTGACAGCAGGCCCTCCTCTGAGCACAGGCGCGGGCACTCAGGGCTCCTCCATGTTTCTGCCCCGTCCCTGCAGCCTGGGGTTCTCTCCGCCTGCCCCCCCCCCCCACCTGCCCCACCACAGAGGGGAGGGTGGATCTGCCGCCTGGCCTTTCCCCAGGCTGCCAACTGAGCAAGCGGCACACCCCTCTCCGCGGAGAGGAAAATGTCACCAGCTTGGCTTCCCCCGCCTGTCGTCCCCGCCCGAGTGGGCATCTGAGCCCGCGCTGCAGGGGGAAGCCGGCTCTCGGCGGCGGGAGGGGAGCCGACACGTTCCTGGGGCGGGAGGGTGTGTGTTTGCCGCCATCCAGTCCTCAGGGAGGAGAAATGTCATGTGTCCTCTGATTCCCCGAAGGACAGGAATCTCCCAGCTCTGGGCGGGCCAGAAAGTCCACCCCCGGCACAGCGGGGCCCCTCCAGCTCTTGAGAAGGCCCTGGGCTTGGGGGGGTCCCCCTGTCTGGGTGCTCACTGCTGTGCTGCTCTCCCTCTGAGCTCCAGGGTTCCTTGGAAGGAAGGGGCCGGACCACCTCTGCGCCAGGCCTGGGCTTGGGATCTGTGCCAGGCTGGGGCACAGCGCCCCGCCCTGGAGCCCGGGGCCATCACCGTGACCTGATCTGAAATTCCCTCTTCTCCAGGAGGACTGCCTCTCGCTACCCCTCACCCCAGCCCTTCCACCTCAGGGCAGGCCCCCCAGGAGCCCAGGAGGTGGACACACACACAGGCCTGCCCCAGGGGTAACGAGAGAGGAGGACGGAGGTGCTGAAGCCAGCTGGCTGTTTTCCTTCCAATTCCCCCTACCCTGAACAAGCAAATGGTGCACGTGTGAAAAGGAGGGTGGCCCTTTAAGAGGTGAGATCTTCCTGCTGCGTTTTCCACATGCTGATAGGGTTCCATGCCAGGCGCCCTCCGAGCACAGAGCGCTCTGCCCGTCCCTCCCACGGAGACGACGGTGCCGGGAACAGGGAGAGCCGTGGTGTGCGCCAAGCAGCGAGTATGGCGGGGCGGGGGGAGGCTCTCGGTGACGCAGCCGCGCACTCGGAGGCTCGGAGACGGTGAAGGCCGCCCGAGGCCCCAGCGCGAGGTCCGGACGATCAGGATTCGGGACCTCAGAGAGCGGGGTCGGCCCTCCCCCGCCCAGTGCCACGCTGGCGCCCATGGCTGTCCCAGGAGCCCACTCAGGTGCCTGGCAGTGTGGCTGGTGGTTCACAGATGAGTGAACGGGCAGAGGTGACACGGCCGGGACAGGCTGTGCTCACTCATCAGCTCCACGGCACGGGTTCTGGGAGTCTGGCTCCGCCTTCCCCATATTTCTCAGGAGGGGGGGCGGCCGCTCCGCAAAGGAGAGAGGTGTTCCAGGCAGACAGGGAGCCCAGGCCCAGTGGCCTCCCCAGCAGCAGCCTCCCTCGCGCTGTGGCCGCCCCCACAACACATTCAGCAGAGCTGGGGGCTGCGGCCTCTGCCCGTCTCAGTCAACTCCGGGTGCTGTAACAAAACAGCCCTAGGCTGGTGGTGTGCACAGCAGACACGCGTTCCACAGCTCCGGGCTGGGACTCCCAGACCGGGGTACCAGCGGGCCGGGCTCTGGGAGAGGGTCCTTTCTCTGTGCCCCCTCTTTTGCTTCTGCACGCTGGGAGCCCACAAATGGACTCGTCATCATCCGTCTCAACCTGGGTCACTCAGAGCCCCATGTCCTCCCAGGGTCCTCCCTCGGGCTGTCCCGCCCTGTCACTGACTCTGCTTCCAGAAACCCCGCCCTGAGCCCGCTCCGGAGCACAGCAGCTCGGTGCTCTGGGCACAGGCTTCCGGGGGAGGCGGGCCCGGGTGGGCCCATGTGGGCCCGTGGGCAAGCCACGCAGCGCCTCTCGGAGCCTCGGATGTTCTCACCCGTGGAACGGAATCGTGTTTGTCCCCTGGGTTAGCTGAGGGTTAGCTGAGATCCGCCTGCACAGCGACCAGCACATTATAAGCTTTCGATACCTGCCACCAGGTAGCATCACCAGTGACATCCCTGAGCCCTGCTCTGAAGCCGTGCATGGTTCTCCTCCAGGCCTGCGCCAGTTCTGAGGGCAGCCACCAGCCTCATGTGGCTATCTAAATCAAAATTAATTAAAACCGAATCAAAGGAGAAGCCCAGCTCCTTGGTCACACCGACCATATTTCAAGTGCTCAATAGCCACACGTCACGTCGGACGGCCCAGAAATAGAACGTTCCCATCAGCACAGGAAGCCCTGCTGGATGCGGCCAAAGGGCCTCAGCACTCACTACTGCCCTCCCTGGCCTGTGCCCACTGCTCCTCACAAGGCCTCCCTTCCCATCAGCCTCTGCGGTCCAGTGCCTGCTGTCCTCAGCCTGTCTTTGGTCTTGGCCTCAGCCCGCCCCACCCCTCCCGATCGGACGCCCACTCACCTTCCAATTTAGGGATCCCTACACCATCACCTGCGGGGTGCCCATGGGGCGGGCAGTGCCCAGGCCTCACGTGTCCCCAAGGAAGCGCCCAGCGCTCGGACCCAGGTCAGCCTGCCAAGGCCGAGTGGCTGCCCGCTGCATTGCCAGAGTGGGGTTTAAGCCGGGCTCGAAGGATGGGAGTACCATCAATAAATATCGTCTGATGGATTACACATGCGTGCTGGTGGGGAACAGAGAAAGGCACCGGAGAGAGTGCCCAGAGCTGGGTGCGGTCTTCTCCCCACAGACCCCTGGGCCTGGGGACAGAGGCAGCGGGCCAGATGCTCACGAGAGGCTGGTCAGCTCCAGCCTGGGGGCAGGGGGTTGCAGGCGTGTGGGTGAGAGGCACCTCCCACAGGTTCCCTCCGCCCTTTGCCCTGTGGGGTGCTTTGAGGGGCTGGGGGTGGTAGGACAAGGCACACACCCTCCTCGCCCATGCACAGCCCCGGGTTCAGGCTGCCTGCCGTCCCTGGTGGAACCCACGTCCGAGCCCACCATCTCTCCGTGGTGCCGGGCCTCTGGCTGGGGAATGCAGGCCCGCAAAAAGGTAACATGCTCCAGTTGGAGAAATACATAATTGCTTCTCTACAACGCCTCCAATCAGTAAGAGGATAATGAGCCTTTCCCCTATGGGCTTGGTCTTTATCCCTAAGTTGTTAAAAAAAAGAAAGAAAGAAAGAAAACGAAGCAGGTAGTATTTTAAAAATCCAGTGAGAGTATGAGCCAGCTGTGACATTAAGTCGATACAAAGGGTATGCTCCACAGCCGGCCAAGGAGAGCTCTGGGGCCGGGGGGCGGTCACTCGCTTCCCTGTCTGAGATGGGCTTCCAGTGAGCGGAACTGCTCTGGACACGTGAACACCGGCTTCCCCGGTCGGTGGTCATGGCTGCTCATGCTTCCCACAGCCTAGTACCGTGTCTGCGTGTCCAACAAACCACGTCCAGCTCGGGGCCCCACTCAGAGCAGGAGTGACCAAAGGGCCTTCCCTGGGCACATGCCATCTCCTCAGCCCTGCCTCCGGCACTCCGTGCATCCCTTTTGCAAACGCATATCCCAGACTAGAGAGCGCACCCACGGGGAAGGGGATGGTTTGGGGCCGGTTTAGATGCCGCCTCAGACTTGTCCCTATCCTGCTCTGCGGCTCATTCCCTCGTCTGTGAGACGGCGGTGACAGGCAGGCTCACGCCACCGCAGGGAGGATCAAGGCAGATGATTCATGAGGGCGCTCAGCACGGAACACGGTACAGGGCAGGCAGCGGCCACAGCTCTGTCCCACAGGCCTGGATCCGCAGGGATGCCAGCACCGTCAGCCATACACGCCAAAACCCAGAATCGTCCCCCATCCTCACTCTCCCTCATTCCCAACCAAATAACCATCTCCACAAACTCTAACTCTCGACTGTCAGCTGCCCTCCAACCCCTCCCCGCTCCATGCTGCCAACTCCGGGGCCCCCCACCCCCGCACCGGGCCCCCAGCAGGTCTCCTCACCCCCTCGTTGGCCAGCCTCCAGCTGGTTCCTGATATGGCAGCCGGAGTGGTCTTTTCAAGATGCAAATCTAATCATGTTCTTTCTCCCACCCCTGCCAGCATAAAAGCTTTCAGAGACTCCCCGTGGCTGTCTGGATGGAAACAGCCCCTTTCGCCTGGTGCGTGAGGCCTGCTCGGGCTGGGCGCTCCCTCCGTGCCAGCCTGGCCCCTGCCCCGGTGCTGTGAGTGAGCCCCAGCCCTGCGGGCCTGTCTCCCGTCTCTGGTCCTCGCCCTGTTCTTCCT